ACACCGCCATATAGTGGAAACTGGCTTAGCAATGTTGCATCATGCCTCTATGCCTATTACTTACTGGGATTTTGCCTTTGAAACCAGTGTTTACTTGATTAATAGAATGCCTCTTGCTTCCAAAAGCACTCCTTATCAATCTCTCTTTAAATCGCCCCTATCCCTTGATAATCTTAAAGTGTTTGGTTGTCTCTATTTTCCTTATTTGCGTCCATATACGAAGAATAAACTTGATTACCGTTCTAAGCCATGTGTATTTCTTGGGTATAGTTCCATTCACAAAGGTTATAAGTGTCTCCATATTTCCACCAATAAAATTTTTATTTCTCGTCATGTCGTGTTTAATGAATCTGTTTTCCCTTTTTCACAGGTGTGTAGCAATTCTTCCAATTCGACCAAGGCTGAGACTTTCGACAGGCCTGAGACTTGTTAATTCCCCATAATTCTGTTGGGTTGGGGTTGGAAAAGGCATCTTATCTATCTCCCCATCAACACCATCTACTACGACATCTGCCCCATCTGCTTCTGTTTTACATCCTTCCCAGTTTCCTGTGATCATCAGAATCTTCTCAAGATACTGTTCCTGTGTCTGGTTCTCCCACTATTAGTACTTCTGTCAATCTGTTTGCTACATTAGAACTGGTGGCAGAATCTCCTTCTGTAGTTGATGTTGGTTCAGCAGATTCTCAATCACCTGATTCTCGGTTGGCAGTCACTAAAAATCAGATTGTTGCAGCTCCTATCACTCGAACACACTCTATGGTGACTCGGTCTCAAACTGGCTCATTGAAACCTCGGGTATTTTTATCTGTTGCTCCCTCCGTTATTTTTTATCTGTTTGCTCCCTCCAAACTCCCTTGTACCATTGACGGTATAAGTGATGCAAAAAAATCTAAAATTGGCGCAATGCTATGGCTGCGGAGGCTTTAAATTCGTTGAAAATTGGCTTTGGGGTACTTTGGGGTCCCTTGCGTGGTTGAATCCACTAATGAATAGCAAATATAGTGGGATGCAAATGGGTGTTTCCGTATTAAAGAGAAGGCAGATTTTGGAACCTAGACAAGTTTACAAAGCGGCGTCTAGTTGCTAAGGGGATTTAATCAGACGTCATGGATTGATTAACTAGGAACTTTTTTCTCCAGTTGTGAAACATACGACCATCACGAATTGGGTTCTTTTCTATTGCTGTTACCAATCGGTGGGTTAAGTAAAAAGCAATTAGACGTGATTCTAATGCCTTTTTGCATGGTCTCTTTGGGTCTCTTAATGAGAAGGTTTATATGAGTCAACCCCCGGGGTACAAAGATCCAACTTTCCCCAATCATGTTTGTCTGCTCCATCGGTCAATTTATGGCCTAAAATAGGCTCCTCGTCAATGGTATAGTTGCTTGGCTACTGCTTTACTCTCTGTTGGCTTTGTTAAGTCCAAGATGGACACCTCTTTGTTTATTCTCTTACAGAATGACGTCATTCTCTATTGTCTTGTTTATGTCGACGACATAATTTTAACTGGTAATTATGTCCCTTGCATAACTCAAGTCATTAGTGAGCTTCAGATTGGGCACTAAACCCCCCTTTCCCCCCCCCCCCAAAGGTATCCCCCCCAAAAATTAGTGAGCTTCAGAACGTCCTTTTTGTTGAAAGACTTAAGGTTCGGCTCTAATTTATTTTCTTGGGTTGAGCTTATACTGGCATGAGGAATACAATTGTTTTTGTCTCAATCTAAATATATACAGGATTAACTCCTTAAAGCCAAAATTTCATGCTTGTAAGGGGCTGCCACACTGCAGTACCATTTCAAAAGTCAAAAAATCTGGTTTCAACTTCTTGATCGGATCCATCCTTATTTCGGCAACTTTTGGGCGCTTTACATTTATTCCTGGTTTTGACCCGGCCAGAATATATAATTATAATTGTTTAACAAATTGTCCTCATTACGATAGCATGTCCAATGGAGGATGCAGCACTGGTTCGAGGTTAGAAGCGGTTTACTTGCGTTATTTTGAGGAGACAATAGGGTAATGGGCATTCTTTAAACAAACCACTTCGGTCTTCACGAATTTTCTTCTGCCTTATAGTGATGCAAAATTGGGCAAGTTCTGTTGACGATCCGTAACGGTCACTACGGGATTTTTAATATATTATTGGTGGCAACTTGGTTTCCTTGGAAATTCCAAAAACAAAAAGACTATAGTCTCGATTTTGCACTGAAGCGAAGTATGTCTAAATAAGAGCTCAACAACTGCCAGAATTAACATGGCATAAAAGTTAATGCTTTTCCAGATTGGGTATTGTATTAAAGATACCCACCAATCTTGTGGTTAATGACAATCTATGGGGCCACTATTTTGACTGCCATCCTAGATGCTTTCATAGTAAGATGAAGCATGTGGGAAATTGATGTTCACATTTTGTGAGAGATAAAGTGGCAAGGAAAAAGAATTGTTGTTCGTATATTCGAATACTGGAAAAGAATCAACTAGCTGATTGTTTGACTAAAGCGATTTCCGCGGCCAACGGTTTTCATTGAATCTGCAGAAACAAGCTACTGCTTTGTTCCAAAGAGTCATTAGCTTGAGGGGGCATGTTAGTGTAAGATAAGTTTGTTATGGTGTATACTTATCTTATGAAACAAGCTACTGCTTTGTTCCAAAGAGTCATTAGCTTGAGGGGGCATGTTAGTGTAAGATAAGTTTGTTATGGTGTATACTTATCTTTAGCTTTTCTGTTACGTATTTGTATCTCAATCTTATCAATACTTGTGTATATATACGTATTATAACAATATACAATAAACAACTTTCCTTTGCTATTCAATCTCTTTAGAAGGACCCCACCCAGAAGACTTGGTTTTGGTCTTTGGAGGCATTATTTTCCACATACACATACAAAAACACTATATGTCTCCTCCCTGGCAATTGCCCTCTTTTTCCATTCCCTTTATAAACTAAAATTTCAAGGATCACACTTACTTGGAAACTCAGCTGTAGGGATGGAAGCAGAATTAGGATTTTAGGTATCTGTTCTCCTCCTATCCATTTAATAAATATATAAATAGTTATACATGAGTTTAAAAAGATGCGAACAGTGAAATAAATATAGGTAAAATACGTTTTTGAGTAACCGTTGCTTGTTATCCGCTATGTTAAAAAAATATATATTTTAAATGATTTCGAGTTTTAAATTATATCGGTACTTAAACAATTTGAAATGTATATGGTAGTAAAATTCTAAAGAGATATAGGTACGAATAGTTCAAAGTTCACAGATATTAGTGCCACTTTCATCCCTATTTAGCTTGTTATTTATTTTGTTGATTACATCAAATTCTCCAATTTAAGTTGTAAAGAAATTATTTTATAATGTGTTAATCTCAATATAGAAATTTAAATTTAATAAAATTAAATTACTTTTGAATTTGTTGATTAGATTTAATTTTTAAAATTAGACTAGAAGTATATAAAATGATTCCTTTGTGGTTTATATTTAAATGAAATAACTTTAAAAAATTGGATCAATTTATATTTTTAGTATCTAAATTTTTAAATGTTTTCTTTGTAAGTGTCGAATAGAAAATTTTACAATTAAGTGTCCAGATTAATAATTTTCGTACAATTAAATGTATTCAGTGAGCTCTCATAATCAAAATGAATTATTTTACCACATTACTTTATTTTATTTATTTTATATATTATTATCATTTTTTACTTATTTTGTTTTATAATCGAAAGAAAGATAATCAAAAGGAAGTTTTAAGACTGTTTTTTTAGAAAAGATATAAGACAATAAAAAATAAAAAAAATGAAAAAATATAAAGGAATTGAATGTATGTATATGTTTAATATCATTTATTGAGTAAAATTATTTATTTTTAATACTTTTGGCAAAAAAAGTTCGGCAACTGCAATTGATTACGACTTGTTTAATACTTCAAATACTCAATTATAATAGAAAAAAAATTAAAAGGGTGATACAATACAAATATAATTAAAATTTTATAAATTTTGATACAATACAAATATAATTAAAATTTTATAAATTTTAATATGAATAAGTTATTTTTGTCCACACAGAACTATTATATTCGTTTATCTAGAACGAAATACTAAAAATTGATTTGTAACACCAGTTAATTATTTTAAAAAAATATATGTATAATTTGAAGGCAAGGTTCTAATTTCTTCAAAGGTGTTTGTGTTATTGTCCCATTGATTTTCCATTTGTGTTTAGGGGTACCGAATCGAAAATGGAATGGAGGTTTAATTTATCGAATCACTAGATTTGAACTGAATTTATTATTTAATTTGAATCTATTTTATAAAAATTTATTGGATGAATTTAAAACTGAATTAATATAGTAAGAATCGAATTAATATAGTAAGAATGGATTAAATTTGTTTAAACTGACTGACTTATTTCAAGTCAATTCCATTCAGATGCTAATTTGGATTTAATTCAATTTGTCATACAAAGTTTACATTTATTAGCTTTGATTCGATTTAAATAGGACCATTTGCTCGTCTTTATCTGTGTCCATTAGTTAAAAAATTAAAAAAATTAAAAAAAATAAAAATGAAAAAGACAAGGTTTACTTTATCTGTGTCCATTAGTTAAAAAATTAAAAAAATTAAAAAAAATAAAAATGAAAAAGACAAGGTTTACCCCACCCAAAAGCACAAGACCTCAAACTCCCAAACTCAACACAAAGCTACACCTTAAACCAAACCAGCCAATGGTTGTCAGTCAGTCAGTCAGTCAGTAAGTCCTCGGTCTTCCTTCTTTTGCAGGCAGTAGCAGTCCACAGTCAACTCCATTCCCAACACGCCATAACCCAACGCATTTACTTTTTTCTTTTCTTTTTTTCCCACAAACACAGAACCACATTAAAACATTTCTTACAATTCGCAAACCTCAAATCCCTCTCTCTCCAAATCTATTCTTATTCTTATTCTATTCTATTAATTTCTCTTCTTTCTTCTGCTCTTATTTGCTCCTGTCTCCTTCTGTATACCAGAGCTGAAACTGAATTTAAAAGAATATTTATATGTTTTTTTTATGCAATATAGCTATATATATATAGGATATAAAGAGAAGTCCGAGAGAACCCAACACAATACAAGCTAGAAATGGGAAGGTATGCGTGTGGCAGTGAAACTAATTTGTTTTTGTCTTTGGCTATGTATTCCTTGTTAATGTTCTTGTTATTTCCTTTTGGGTTATCTTTATCTCCAAACCAAACATCGATCATGATCAATCTCTCCCGACAGCTTAACCCTGTTTTACAATGGGATATTACTTTAAAGCCAGAACCATGTTCTTGGAGGGGAGTTAAATGCAGCTCTGACAATACATCTATTACAGGCCTTTTTTTATCTGGGTTTGGAGTTTCTTCTTCTGGGTTTTTGTCCCTTGTTTGCAAGATTGAATCTTTACATTCCCTTGATCTCTCTAATAACCGCTTCGGCTCAATCCCAAGGGAGTTTATTGATAGTTGTGGAAGGATTAGCGGGTGAAAGGTGCTGAATTTTAGCAGAAATATATTGGGTGGTTATTTGCCTATTTTTAATGGTTTTGTTGGGTTAGAATCTTTGGACCTGTCTTTTAATAATTTGACTGGTAATATTAGTTTGCAATTAGATGGATTACTTGAACTTAAAGGATTGAATCTTACTTTCAATAGTTTCACTGGTTCTGTTCCTGTAAAACTTGGAAAATCTATGGTGTTAGAGGATGTCAAGCTTTCTGCGAATAGATTCCGAGGTGACATACCTAAGGAAATATTTAATTATCAAAATTTGACCTTCATTGATCTTAGTGCAAATAACCTTGAATTATCAAAATTTGACCTTCATTGATCTTAGTGCAAATAACCTTGAGGGGCCTATTCCTAACTCGATTGGTAATCTCACAAAGCTGAATACTTTGATTCTGTCCGCCAACAATTTGACTGGAGAAATCCCCAAAACTATTGCAGACATTCCAACTCTGTATAGGTTTGCAGCAAATCAAAATGGGTTTGTTGGTGCAATTCCCAGTGGAATTACGAAATATCTTACTCTTTTAGATCTTAGTTATAATAAGTTAAGTGGGTCTATTCCATTAGACCTCTTATCACAGTTGAATTTGATATCTGTGGATTTGTCTTATAATCTGTTGGATGGTTCAATACCTAGAAATATATCTCAAAACTTGATCAGACTGAGATTGGGAAGTAATTTGCTTAATGGGTCAATACCTTCTTCACTCACTTCATCTCATAAGTTGACTTACTTGGAGATGAATAACAATAACTTGACTGGTGCGATACCTACTCAGTTAGGATAAGTTGACTTACTTGGAGATGGATAACAATAGCTTGACTGGTGCGATACCTACTCAGTTAGGTTCTTGCCAAGGTTTGGCTCTCTTGAATTTGGCTCAGAATAATCTCACGGGTAGTTTACCGGTGCAATTGGGTGATATTAGCAATCTTCAGGTTCTGAAACTACAACTCAACAAGCTGGCTGGAGAAATCCCATTATCTCTCTCTCAATTACACAAGCTGTCAATTCTTAATATCAGCTGGAATTCACTTACTGGTTTCATACCTTCTTCCATTTCAAACTTGCAAAGCCTTTCCCATTTGGACTTACAAGGCAATAATCTTAGGGGTTCAATACCTGACAGTATCCGTAGCATGAATTCTCTGTTAGAGCTCCAACTCGGAGAAAATCAACTAGGTGGGAGGATTCCAACAATGCCAGCAAAACTGCAGATTGCTTTGAATCTCAGCAGCAATCTCTTTCAAGGGGCTATTCCGAATACACTTTCCCAACTCGGGGATTTGGAAATTCTGGATCTTTCAAACAACAAATTCTCGGGTGAGATTCCAAGTTTTCTTACTCAATTGGGATCACTTACACAGTTGATACTCTCAAACAATCAGCTTTATGGAGTCATACCTGAATTCAAGCCTTGGGTTTCTGTCAGTGCAATTGGAAATGCAGATCTTAGTAATGCTACTAGGGAAAACAATTCCCCAAAGTTCACAAATACTAAGAAATCAGTTGCTGTGGCAGTAATTATTGCTGTTGCAGCTGCTGCTGTTGTTGGGATGATGACATTGATTTTTGCAAGTGTACGAAATCGCAACATGTAATATAGAGTGAAGAAGTATCGTATCCACAGGGATTGTATATCGAGTACCAAAATTATGTTAACCTATTATTATTTAAACGACAGTAGGAGAGATTTGTTATAAGGAAAGTAAATTTTAAACGAAAAGTAGGAGGAGAATTTGTTATAAGGAAAGTAAATTTGAAAAATAAACAACAGAAGAGCGCATAAAAGCGGCGCAAAATCGAGAAAAAGTAAGTCTTAGATGAAAAGAAATTCCAGGCAGAGTTTAAAGTGACTAGGGAATTGATTTCACTAATTCTATCCAGGTTTATTTATTAGTTTATTAATGCCACATTTTTGGTAAGCAACTATTAAATTGTTGAAGTAGGGAAGAAAACAACACTTGAAATGCACGAATACAAGCGGTCTCGCCGCAGAGTAGATGTATAGGCCCTTAAGCCTATGCGTAATCTTAGGATAGCTAAAGGAGTTAATTTACCGTATCTTCCATAGCGAAAATCAAACATAAATTTAAAATCAGTGTTGGAGATTTATGCCTGATTGTTTTTGTCAGAATTCAATAAACTTAAGGTCAATTAACTTCATGGACAAGACCCAGCCTTGAGTCAAACCATGAGCTTGTCCAGTATCAATACAATGTATTATTCTTAGGTGAGGTGCATTAATTATCTCCCACTATGAGAGCAGAAGAGCGAGACTTCACAACCGTGTATAGAGGATGTAAAATGAAATTAGTTCGAGAGTGATCCAGTGTAAAATTCTGGCTGGAACAGCTATTATAGCGTTATATAGAGAGAGACTATGCCCAGAGGAGAGATAACATCAGATATACTTACTCGTTAATTATAACTGGAATCGAGATTAAGCTTACAACAATCAAGAGAGCTCGTTAGTGGTATCGAAAGTTAAGACTATTAGCTGAGTGACCGATAAGGGTAATGTATAAACGGTAAGGAAATCTCAGTATATTGCCTTGAAATCAATCTTCATAATGCAGTAATAACAATGGAAAAGAATAAGCGGAGGAGTCGGAGAGGAGTACCGGCTGGATTTTAAAGAGGGATAAAAGAGAAGTAGGGTAGTAACACAAGACCTATCTACGGGACTTGCCGCTTTCCGCATTAGAAGCTTTGCGACACCTAAGCCAATACTTTTGATGCTTGAGGACCCCTTGAGGAGAGAGGAAATAATGGTAGGGCAAAAAACAACTTCACTCAAAAACGAGATGTCCGCCAATAATGAAAAGATTCCCCTCTTTATAATAGAGCCTCCCTGAAAGGCCAAGATCTGAACCTCCGTTAAGAGAAAATAGGAAAATCTCTTCATTTAGTGCAAAATCCTTCTGGATAAGCGGAAGATCATGACTGTTTAGGCGTGGGATTTTTCTTTAATTGGGACTGCTATTCTCATATACCAATTCCAAAATAGGTCTAGGTCTTGTTTAGTACGTTTAGGAAATTATCCGAGGCGGGCCCATGTGAGAAAAAGATTGATTTGCGTTTTTAGTTCACGCTAGTTCTGCCTCCGAAGCACGGGCGTGCTTAAGTCTGGAAGTTTGGCTGGTGGAGCACGGAGTGTGCTAGGCAAGCACACCCTGATGAAACCTTGTGGCACGGGCGTGCCATATAGCATAGGCTAGGCGTGCTTGTCCCTGACCTTCCCAGCTAGAGTTTATCATGGGCGTGCTAGGCTGGCACGCCCTGAGTTTCTTCTGGGCACGGCCGTGCCTTCTAGCATGCCTCAGGGCGTGCTCACTCCTGACACTCCCTTAATTTCCTTAGTTTTTAGCACGGTTGTAGCTAATTTAGCACGGACTGGGTGTGCTAAGGCTGCAGTATTTTGCTTGTAATGCCCTCTTTCTGCTGCAAAAAACCTGCAATTTCTCTCAGATCAAGCGGGTTCATGATTCAAGGAAGCCTTTGAACCAAACTTATATAAATATGAATTTAAAAGCAAATCAAAATGTGATAATTTACTAAAATTTAATAAAGATATATAAAAATGTACTATAAAAACTAAAACCTACTTCAAAATTCCCAAACTTAAAACCATTGCTTGTTCCTCAAGCAACAAAACTAATTTTAAGAGAAAAATAATTTGACAAACTGGCTTATCATGGTTGGAGACGATTATCGTAAACCTATAAGATATCAATGCATTAGTGATAAGTGGAATAAATAATTGCTTCTCCATGCTACTCATTATTTTATAGTTTGATTTTCAATTTTTACATAAAAGCACATGCATTGAAATTAAATATAAGTTAAGAGATTGTCAACACCAATACTTATTCAATTTATTACGATAAATAGGATATGAATCATCCAAAGAATTTTCAACCTTTCAAAATAAGACAATTGATAGTACAAATGTGGCATTCCCATATGCAAAATTAGTCATCCCTTCTCCACAATTTAAATGCATACGATTAAAATATCAAAAGGTCTTTATCTTGGGTTTTAATGGGGCTTCCGAGGTGTAAATTTTTGCTTAATCAAAGAAAAAGGATAAAAGGTAGACAAAGAGTATAAAAGAATGTATAATATCCATAATTCTATTTTAATCAAAAATTTTACTTGTTCCAGGGAGTTTCTATTTTTTTTTACTAGCTAGAGACATTTTGGCAAGGTCTTTCCATAATATTTTGGTACTTTTCTTCCTTGCTTTTTGAATTCTTCAAACTTAAATCCTTTTGATTGCTTTTTATGTGTCTCTTTTTGATTTTTCTTATTTGGTAAACTTGCTAGTATCATTGAAAAATTCTCCCTTTTTGTTGCTATGTTAATTCTCCCTTTTTGTTGCTATGTTCTTAATTAAAAGTCGAATCATACAATCATACAATCTTCCAAATAATTATTTTTCAATTATCAATGTTGTTAGGACCGTAATTTAAAGTTATTTGTAATTTTTTAATTTGAAAAATATTGTTTTTATTTTTTATGATAGGTTAGAAAATGTCTTCCAAACCACAAAAGAATCTAAAACCAAGAATGATCCTACTTGGGATCATTGTTCTCAAGTTGGTGACAATAGAATGCATTTGAAATGTATTTATTGTGGAATTGAAAGGTGGGGAGGAATAAGTCGTATGAACCACCATCTTGTCGGTGCCTATGATAATGTTGCCCCATGCGAAAAATGTCCAGATTTAGTGATGGAAAATTTTAGGAAGCTTTTAAGAGAAATGGAAAACCAAAAAGTTGCAAATGCAAAAGAATCCTTTGACGAACAATTGAGAGAAGAAGAGCAAAAAAGAGAAAGAACTATGGATGCCTTTGTCATTAAAGAAAAGGGAGTCAAAGCTAAGCAAACAACTATAAATGCTTTGAGCAAACAACTATAAATGCTTTGATTAAAAAAAGAGAACCCGTTGTTCAAAGCATTTGTAGGTTTTTGCATGGACATGCATTACCTTTTGTTTTGGTGAAGAGTCCACTATTTGCTTCAATGATGGAAATGGTTGGTGAATATGTAAGAGGTTTAAAACTACCTAGCTACCATGAAGCTAGAATTACATTTTTGAAGAAGGAAGTTGACAATGTGAATTCAATGCTAAGAGAAGTATAAAAACGAATAAAGCAAGACAGGATGTATATTGATGTCAAATGGATGGACTAATATGAGAGGTAAGTCTCTCACTAATTTTTTGGTTAATAGCCTTAGTGGAACAGTTTTTCTCAGATATGTTGATACCTCAAATATAGTGAAAGATGCACAAAAGTTGTTTGAATTGCTTGATTTATGAGTGGAAGAAATTGGGGAGGAAAATTTGGTTCAAGCGGTGACAGATAGTGCTTCAGTTTATGTAGATGCTGGTGAATTATTAATAAAGGAGGAAAAAAACTATTTTGGTCTCCTTGTGTAGCACATTGCATTTACTTGATATTACATGAGCTAGCCATTTTTAAAGACACAATAAACAAAGCAAAAGAAGTTTATATTTATATTTATCGACATGCTTGGGTCCTTAACATGTTTAGAAAATTCTCTAATAAGAAAGAGTTAAAGAGGGCTGGAGTTACAAGATTTGCTACATCATTTCTTACTTTGAAATTTGCTACATCATTTCTTACTTTGAAAAGTTTTGATAAAGCTAAACTTCCTCTTAGAGCTATGTTTGCATCGGAAGAATGGGCTAAAATTCAATATTATTGTAAGGGTGATGCAAGAAAAGTATAGGCAACCTTGTTATGTGATGACAAGTTTTGGAAGTCAGTCAAATATTGTTTGAAGTCTGTAACTCCACTTATTAAAGTTTTAAGACTTGTGGATTGTGTTGTAAAACCGGTAATGGGTTATATTTACAAGCCATGGATAGAGCGAAAGAACAAATTGCCCCAAATTTCAATCATCATCCCACAAGATATGAATGCATTTGGAAGATAATTGATATAAGAAGAGATTTGCATCTTCATAGTCTGCTTCATGCAACTGGTTATTTTCTTAATCCTAAGTAAGTTCTCTAAATTATAAATTGAAAGTATTTTGTTAGTTTATTTATTTAGGGAAATAAAAAACAAATCATTTTATTCCATTGCATTTATAATATATTATATATTATATATATATAATAATATATTATATATATATATATATCTTCATATATTTCAATATGGTGATTCCTTTAATGCAGATATGGAAGTGAAAATGGGTGTGTACAAGACAATAGAGAGGATGTATCCAGATCTTGAAACTAGAATTAAAATTGATCAACAATTAGGAAAGTTCAAGAAAGGAGAGGAGATTGTTTGGCATGAGTATGCTTTTTTTAACAAGAGATAAAAGGCAACCAGGTATTATGTGATTTATTGTTTGACATTTTGAATTTCCTAATTTTTTAATTAGTGCTAGCGAAAAAAAATAATTAGTTAGCTATCTCTCTCTCTCTCTCTCTCTCTTTATTTTTATTTATGCATCTTAGCTTTATGGTGGGAAAGCTATGGGGTAGAATGTAAAGAGCTTCAAAATCTTGCAATTCGAGTTTTAAGTCTCACATGCAATGTTACGGGATGTAAAAGAAATTGGAGTAACATTTGAGCACATCAATTCTCAAAAGAGAAATCGAGTAGAACAACAAAGATTAAATGCACTCGTCTTTG